AACAAAAATCCGGTTTAGAGGTCCATCCCCTATCTTCCCCTAAACCGTGGAGTACATCCCCTATCTCCTCCCAAACAATATGCATATGCAATGCTCAGTCACTCACTGGTCGAGGGCTTGAGGAATCCCGATGTCTGTCTCCCAGGATACGACGGTCAAAACCAGCTACGGCAGAAGCACTCTCTGTCTAGCTTAGCGAACAAAACAGTGGCAGCACTCTCTCACTGTAGGAACTTTCAGGTAAACTGACTTGTGAAATGGAAGTAAAAATTTCTGTGTTTGAGACTTGACAGGAGGGTCTCAATTTATACATGTATAGGGGAGAGAGGAAGAGCCTCCAGCCTTTATGGCTGTTCATAATGCACCATTAACCTCTGCAATAAAGGCAGGAGTTACAAACCCCATTAATGCAGGAGTTACAAACTTTATTACCTTTTTTTCCATGAAGCTAACTTCATGAGGTAATTTCTCATTCAAATCTCAATGGTTTTTGGCCATTCTATCTGTGGTGTAAAGATCTCAATGCAAAGTATCTAGACTCACTTGGACCCAACACAATAGATGGTTGGGACCCACTTTAATCTTTAATTAAAGTCACCACACTTTAATATTAAATTAAAGTCCCCAAAAATCATTTTTTCCAACAAAATAGTCATGTGACAACTGCACATAATTGCTATATAACTATTTTTCATAAGTTTCGTAATTAAAATTTTACTGTTGAGTGACATGGTACATGATAAAAAAATTTAAGAGATTGATGGTCCCAATTAAAATATTTGAGATAAAGTGAAATTAATACATACGTTCTAATTGTAATTTACTTCTTTTTTTTTTTACCTTTTTTTTTCTAGAAATCTTTAGGTTGCTTCAGGGCAGCCAATTGGACAAGAATGAAAGTGACTTTATAAATGGCCCTTTGTTTCACAAATGATTATCACCTTACGGTTTGATTTTTGTAATTAATTCCAATACATTTTATATTTTTATTTTTCTTCGTATGAATTTTTTTAAAAAAAATCTTAGTGCTTCAGCTCCAATCCAAATTAAATACAAAGATGACTATACAAGGTTCGAGAGCATAGATAAGGAGCAATAAAAAATAAAAAAATCACAATAAACCTTGAGAAGTTATTTAGTGGTTACATGATGACCAGAAATATTGTAATTGGTAGAGGTGAAATTCATAATTTTGTGTTGAGTTATTAGAGAACGGCAAGGACATGATGTTTGGTGATTGATGATGTCTCTGGACCACCAAATATTGATTTTTTTAAATCAAGAGTTTAATTTTGTTACAAATTTTCAAAGTATAAATAAAATATATTACATGATTGTTTACAACAATAAAATGGACAATAATAAGTGCAATCAATAAATATTTTCTTCAATAAAATCTCACAATTTTAAATCAATTAAATAATATGTTTTAATGTGTGCATAATTTGATTTCCTTAATTATGATAGGCTTATCATTTAAGAATAAAGTATTTGATTGAGTGTCATTATCTATCCTCAGTCTGTGCTTGGCTAGGCAGCCGACACGGTTGTCACCCACAAATTCATATATAAAATAAAAGGAAGTGACTTTGTTTCAGTCCAAGGTCAGATTGGATTGTATTGTTAGGTTTGTGGGAATCCACCACGGGTTCTGTTTTGATAATCCGAACCGTTCAATGTGTAGAACTCGTCGAGTACTATATGCCTGTAAAAAATCACATTGATCGGATATCGATAGCAATGTGAACAAAATAGTTTTTTATTAACCGTTAATTGTTTTACCGTCTATTTTTTTTATACAAAACTGATTTGATCACATAACTATTGATATCCGATCAACGTGATTTTTTACAGACATGTAGTATTCGACAAGTTCTACACATTTAACGATTCGGATTATCAAAACGAGCCCAAAAAATGAGCTCCATGAACCAAACTGGGCGGATCCAATCTTGATCTCAACTTGAGACAAGCTGGACCCTAAATAAAATTATCCTAACGTATCGAAGTTGAGTTTACTTCATTATTGCACCAATAATTGTGCAAAAGATATTTATATGTATTATAATCCTCATGATATATAATAAGAGCAAATAATAATAGAATAATCAATGGAGGATTAGCTGGATAGTCAAGAGTTGTTGCGCCTCATTAACGAATAATTACTATCAATGGGATTAGCTCAATAGTCAAAGAGTTTTTGCGCCTCATTAAGGAATAAATACAGGGTGTAATGGTGATTAAAAACTATTAAGTATTTTGCTTCATATTATTTACTTATTTATTAATTGACACCGCTACGAGTTAGTAAATTTTCAAGTAACTTTTTAAATTTTATTCTCACATCTTTACAACTTAACTAATCCTTTAGTAGTCATTATATCACCATTTTAACTTAATATTTGTTGGAGATCATAAATTGGACTATTTCAAATAATGTTAGGGATCATGAAAATAATATTATGAAAATTATCATGAAAGATTCTCAACCTTTGGATTACCCATACAATAACACCACACACTAATCAAGAGATGAAAAATCTTCATGATGCATTTCATAATATTTTTTTCATGATCCCTAACATTATTCATCGGGAAATATGCAATGCCTTACACTCCCATATGAATTTTTTTCTTAAAGTTTGAAAAAAAGGTAAGTACACATTCTGTGACAATCACTAAATTCTCAAGTTTCATATTGGATTAATTGTACATCAACAACTCTAAGACACATCAATTAAAACACCTCATTTTTCACTTCCTATTCACACAGCCCTACCAACAGTTGGAACTTTTAGAAGTGAAAATTTATACATCTCTGCTAACGATCACCGAAATCTTTGTTCACCAAAATTACTGATATAATAAAAAATGTTAGCATCTACATAGAAGATTATAATCAAATCTATAAATACGAATATTTTCTCTTATATCAGTGATTTTGGCGAGGGAAAATTTTGGTATTTTTCTAAAATTTAAGTTGGTATTGTATGCCATCTCATTCAGTAAGGAAAGATCATCGGTGAGTACTGTTCTTGGAAACCACCATTGTAGGCTACATCAGAGTTCATCAATCTATCGAGTTCATCAAACCCTAAAAGCAAGTCATCGCTCAATATCATATCGTATATCACAAGTCCATTATCATCATGTTGGCCGTCTTCAATAATCCTCATTCGTTGTTCATCTTCCTCTTCTGTGCTCTTTTTCTTTAATGAAGGGGTTGGTGACGGTGGAGATAGAGCTGAGGAAGAAATCGGAGAACCATCCGAATGAGAATCACCGCCAGTGATGGCGGAGCTTTTAGGGGTAGAGAACTTGTGTCGGGTTGTTCCAGCAAGAGAGCTCCGGCGAGTTGGCTGGCTGTGGCAGTGCTCGGCGGTGTAGGTTACGACAAACATTTCAGGGTCAGATTCACTCCGTTCGACTTGTTTTCTTGCTAGACATCCTTTTGAGCTGCTGCACCTGTAATAGCTCCTGTTTTTTCACCAAGCAATATATATATCAGTCATCTACGTGTATGGTTGGGAAACCAAAAGAGAAAGAAATTGGCATATTTTTATGGATAACAATAATAATTGCTTCACATTCAAAGAATCTTAAAATAATTGGATAGGATAAGGATTATCTATCTTATAATGTGATTGTACATTAGGCTAAAGAAATGTTTATTACTTTACAATTAATTTCAAAATCTCACTTCAGAAGATTTTGATTCACCAAGTAATTCAATGTTTCTAAATTTTAATATATTATACTGTAGTCGAGATTAATATTATTTCTTTATTTAAAATCTTATAAGTTATATAGAGAGAAAAAAATATAAAGTATAATGATAATATCACCTTATGTGGTATTATCTACTAATAAAAAGTCGCAATTGAACTAAGCAAACAAGATTTGCCTCCAACTAATCGAACATTGTTATGTCCATATAGTAAATCAAAATTGCTAATTAGATGGTGTCTTGTGATATATCAACGTTACCTCCAATATTTAAGAGAGAGAGAGAGAGAGAGAGAGAGAGAGAGAGGGGGGTACCTTGGATGAGGAGATCCTTTGATGGGTTTCTGGCCATATTTACGCCAAGCCCAGGTATCAGAGGAAAGACCTTCAGCTGTAACTTGAAGTACCACTCTTTTGTGCTGAGTCTTCCTGATAAAAACAAGTGAAAACTTCTCATTAAAAATAGAAATTTTTAGCAAACTCAAAACTTCAAATATTTCTAAATTTTCAAAAACAAGAAACCCTTTCGATCAACTAACCTCCTCTTGTATTTAACTCCAACAGCAGTAGTAGCAGCAGCACCAGAAACAACATCACCAGCAGACCCACAAAAAGGCTCCTTTTCTGGCTCTCTCTTTCCTCCACCAGAAACAGAAATGGAAGATGATGAAGAAGAAGAAAGGATGGTTTGTGGAGGAGAAGAGAGAGGATTCAAATTCAACACAGGGTAAAAGGGCTTGTAAAGTTCATCTAATTCATCTAAAACTGTTGTAGTAGTACTAGTAGTTGTTTCAAATAAATCAGGAAAGGCACTGAAATCAAAGTCATCATAATCTTGTTGTATAGTAGATGCAGAAGCAAAGCATGTTGCAGGTGGGTTGTCCATGGTGAAGTCATTGTTGAATCCTCTAACGACAGCTTGCAAATCCCCATCGCCGCCACCGATGAATTCACTCATCATTGAGAACTGATTGTCAAGCCAAACAGAGAATTGGAGAGAATTGAAGAGGAAGAGAAGAGAGAACCAGAGGTGCAGACTTTGTTATCAGTTGCTAGAGAAAAGAATATAGAGGACAAGTTTGTTTATGTGTATATATAAATATTGGAGAGAGATAGAGAGTTGGGAAATAGATGGGTTGAGTTGAGAGGTCTGTGTTGATCTTGATCTTTAATTTGGATTTGTATTTGTATTTTTGAATTGGATTGGGGTTGACTATGTGAAAATGTCAAAGGGAACGAAAAGGCGAAAGTAACACGCATTCAATTCAACTAACTCGCTTCTCATTGTTGACAAATGGCTTTTGGGGGGGACTAAAAGAATATATGAACACCAGCTGGATATAGGGAATTTTCTTTTTTTTTTGGGTACATAAAAAGTTATTGTGTCATGCATACGTAACCAGACACTCCGATTGATGCAATACAATATTAATAATGATATATAAAATAATAATAATAATACATGCAAAAATATAATAATAATAATAATAATAATAATAACACAAGCAAAAATATATTATATATATATTATATTTATAGCTATCGGTCGACTTTAAAAATATTTTTATACTATATTCAATCAAATAAATATTATTTAACAATTTATTTAGATAAGTTTTTAACATGATAATTTAATAAATATTTTTTAAAAATAACTATTTACCGTATCCCCGTACCCGTATCCAAATTTGGATCCATATCCCCGTATCTTTCATTTTCAATTTTAAGATGTCCGACCCTTAGATATGCACCCGCACCCGATATTCGTACCTGAGTCCGTGTAACGTAGCGTCTCGTTGAGTCCATATGATGTCATTTGTCAAGATAAGTTTTTTCATGTTTGCAGTCTTGCATACACTACTCCTTGTTAAGCCACTATTTCTTGCCTTTGAAGGGTTGATATATATGTGTGTGTGTGTATAGGTTAGACAGCACGCCCCCTTAAATACTATGTAAGAAATAATGTATAGAGAAAGAGAGAGAATAAATTGTATGGCTGCAGAGTAGGACAAATGAGGTGCAGCATTTAAACTCCCAGCTGGCTTTGCTCCAACGCATGTATAAGGATGCGCGAGCAGAGAT